GAGGCCCATTGACCCCAGCTGGGATCTGGCCCATTGACTCCAACAGTTAGGCTCAGCGGTGTCGGGTCGGAGCCTCCACACAGGCATCGGGAGAGACCCCTCCCCCCTCTCCCTGCCCCTGAAATCAACGGGGCTAATGGGGCATTGACCATGGTAGGATGGGCCCATTTGGGTGGGAAGGCGGCGCCTGCTGCCCCCTAGTGGTGTCACTGCACATGGATGAGGCCCAAGTGTTTGGGGGCTGCTTCCTCCCTGGCTGCATGGGACGGGGCTGCAGAGGGGGTCACTCGCTTCCTGCTGGTGGGGGGGGGCGGGAGGGCAGGAAGGCAGCCAGACCCCAGGGCCGAGCTAGCCCACTTGGAGAGCCAGGGGCCCAAGGGGGCTGGGAATGGACCTGGGAATGCCCCTGGTGGCTTGGCTCTCACCTGGCTGGCTGTCTCCACGAAATGAGTTCACTGGGGCTCATCCCATGATGCCTTGGGTGGCTGCCCCCCGCCATGGGGAGCACTCTCCAGTGATTGCAGGGGGGTCTCCCAGGCCTTGGGGCTGGATTGAGAGTCCTGGAGACTGATTTTTCTGTGTGTCCTCCAGACACCCTCCCCTGCCCTAGGGCCTCCCTTCCAGTGTGGTGGTGGGGAGCTGTGCTGGGGCTGTCAGAGATGGGGGCCTTCAGTGGCACATTGTAAAGTCGGTGCCCATGGTAGGGACCCCTCTCCCTGGGCTGAGAACCCCCCAAAAATGATTTGTACATGGGGCACCAAGCGGTTGCCCCCCAGAACCTCACACTGCCCCTTGCTCTTTACCCCCCACTCCCGCTCTGCCTCCCCAGCTCCCCCACTGCCCATGTCCCCTCCCCAGCTCCCCCTCCAGGGAGAACCACCAGCCACAAGCTCCCTCTGGTTGCCCTATGACATCATGGGTGACATCACAAGGAAAGGAACCTTCAGAGGGGGGCCCTGGACACGGAAGGCGACCACGCAGAGGGGCTGGGTCAGGGAGGTGGCATCTTGGTGGCCAGGTAATAAACCGCCTTGCAGGCCCCGGGGAGAGGTTTCATGGGAGCCCCATCACCTGGGCTGTTCAGAACCAGACTGGGCCCAGCCCTGGGGAATAGGCTATCGGGGACAATCCTGCCCCAGGTGGGGACGGGCTAGGCGGGCCCTGAAGAGGGTGTCTCCATCTCTGCTGGGATCCTGCTCCAGGTGTGGGGTGGGCCCTGAGGGGGCATCTCCCTCTCATTCACTGGGACGAGGTGACGAGGCTAACAGGGAGGGACCCAATAGGCCGTGTGGGCAAGATGGCCCAATAGGCCGCCCCAGTCTCGAACGTCCCTGGGTCGGTTGGTCTCAGACAGGGAGTCACTGACGGCTGCTGGTCTCGGTGACACGGACATCTGAACCCCAGGGAGCTGGCCCAAGACCCACCTATGTCCTGTCAGATTTCAGTGGCTTGGGTCCCTCATGGGCTGGGCCCCAGCTGGTGGCCTAAGGGAGAAGAGCTCTGTCCCCGTCCCCAGATCCAGCCGCTTCCCCCATCCCGCAGGTTCGCTGCTTCCAAGCTCAGTGATGTAAAGAGACAGCAAGGGGCTGGAGCACAGAGCAGCACCAGCCTCCCTCCTGGGCATGAATTCACACCATTGAATTATTCCAGGATTGGAATCAGCACTGGCTGGGAGGGAAACTCAGCCCCTAGCCCCACACTTGGGGAAACGCAGGACAGCACCCCCTAGGAACCCCCACTTCCTGCTGCACAGCTCCCCTTTGCCCAAGGCCTGCAAATCAGGTTGCAGTAGCTGGGCTCTTCTTTGAGGTCACCCATCCAACTGCTAGCCCAGCCAGGCTCTGCTTAGCTTGAGAACTTGGAAAGAGGAATTACATAGCATGCTATTGAGGCAAACTCAGAGATGGCTCTTTATCTTAAACTTCCAGCAGCTCCCTGCTGTGTCCTGGGCCCTGCCTGTTTGCTGAAGGATTAGGGGTGACTAGCTCATAGCAGAATAATTGTGGGGGTTCAGGGCTGATCTGACACCCCCCACCCCACCCCACTGTTCTCTGCACAGCGCTCCGGCATGGCTGGGAGGGGCGGCAGCAGGATGGCCTCCTTGGAGCGGCGCAATCAAGCCCTGGTGAGTATTCCCCCCTCCTGCTCCGCATCCACTGGTGTCCTCAAAGAACCTCAGTTTCCCCTTCTGGCGATAATGGCTCAGCCATGGCGGAGGAGGGAGTTATAGGGGAACTTTGGACCCGGCTCCCCATCCAGCCCTACTTACCTCTGTTCTCTCCCTCCCGGACGACCCTCCCCCAGATGGAGAAGATTAAATCCCTGCAAGTAGCCAACGCCAACCTGCGGTACATGGTGAGTCCTCCAGCCTCTGCCCCGGGAGCAGCCCAGGCTCCCCTCACCCTGCTGGGGGTGGGGTGGGTTTGGTGGGCTGGCAGCTTTAATTCATATGCCTGAGTTGTAGCCCCAGAGTGCCGATGCCCAGACAGTTCCGTGGCCAGTGCCCAGGCCGGGGGTCAGACCTGACAGAGCCCCCAGCTAACGCCCAGACTGGGGATCCGCCCCGCCACAGCCAGGTGCTCTTCAAGGACGATAGCAAACGCAGTGGCCGTTCCCCCTGTCGCTAAGCTGGCCTGTCTGCCCTTGTCCCTACAGAATTTGCGGTTGAAGGAGGAGAACGAAGGTGAGAGGATGCAGCCCGTCGGGGTGTCCTGGGCCTAGCTGAGGCCTCCAGGTTGGCATGATCAGTAGGCAATGGCCCTGTCTGGGGTTAGAGACGGCATTGGACTCTAACCGGGGCACCAGACCTCCCTCTGCCTGTGTCCTGGGCTCTCCAGCCCTGCTGTCTGCCAGCACCCACCTGGGGCAGAGACATCAGTGGCCAGCCTGGGTTTGTGGGACTACTCTGGGGGCCCACACAACCACAGCTGCTGCCCTGGGTTTGGGTGACTGTCACCCACTGGTGAGTGGGTGTTGCAGGGCACGCGCTGTGCTGATCCACAGAGACGAGGAGTCTGTTACACCTCCCAGCTTGAGAGGCTTAGCTCAACTTGCAGCTGCTAGTGCGTTTAGCTCTGGAAGTCCCTGGTCCAAGCCCTGGTATGATGGTAGCGATCATATTACTACTGAAGGGCCTGAATAACCTTAACTCTGCCCTGGGTTTGGGTTACTATTTCTGAGGCCTACACAACCTTAGCTGCAGTTAAGTCTATACATTTACAGTTTATAAGTATCTACACGGGGAACAAATATTTACTAATGCGCTCTTCAGTCTAGCAGAGGAAGGTCTAACACAATCCAATGGCTGGAAGTTGTAGCTAGACAAACTCAGCCTGGACATAAGGCATCAGCGTTGAGCAGTAAGTGTGATTAATCCTTGGAACAATTTACCAAGGGTCGTTGTGGATTCTCCATCACTGTTTAAATCAAGATTGGAGAGACAAGGTGGGAGAGGTAATATCTGTTATTGGACCAATACGGTCTCTCTAATACTGTGGTATCAATATGGCTATAACAACACTACATACATCAAGCTGTTTTTCTAAAAGATCTGCTCTAGGAATTATTTGAGGGGAAGTTCTCCGGCTGGGTTATCCAGGGAGTCAGACTAGATGATCATAGTGGTCCCTTCTGGCCTTGGAATCAATGAATCTATGAACTCTGCCCTTGGGTTTGCATTACTGTTTTGGGGGCCTCCATAACCTTAACTCTGCCCCTAGATTACCGGCCCATCCCACAGTGGTCAATGGTAGCTTTTCCTTTGTCTTTGATGAGAGCCAAGCTGGGCATCCAACTGCGATTGGATGGGGGATGATTTTGTACCTGTACAGAGCACCCTGGAATTCACAGCTGGTACAAATGGAAGTTTGGGATTTCCCTTCCACAGGGGATGCCGACGTTTCAAAATTTGAAAACAAACTTTTTTGAAATGTCCCATTGTGTGAAATTTAAAAAAATATAATCATGCCAGGCCAGCCGACGTGCTCCTTTTGGGTAAAATCAAAAGGCTTTGTTCCGATTTTGACCTTTAAAAAAATCCATCATGTCAAATATCTCTAAAAAACGGAACGGGAATGTTTCTGAAAGGCCCTTGTGGCAACGGGACGAGGTTCGTCTCTTCCTCTCCACAAATATTGTTTTATATTGCAGTATGTTGGTAATTCACAGCTACTATAAAATCAGTCCTGCCGCTTGTCAGAACGTCAGAATGAAAGTCTGTCACAATCTGGAGGAAAGATCTGAGGTCAGAGGGCATTTTCCAACGGACAAATGCTCAGTTGGAAATTTTTCGTAGATTCCTAGATTCTAAGGCCAGAAGGGACAGTTGTGATCATCAAGCCCAGTGGCTCTCAACCTTTCCAGACGCCTGTACCCCTTTCAGGAGTCTGATTTCTCTTGCGTACCCCAAGTTTCACCTCACTTCAAAATGACTTGCTTACAAAATCAGATCTAAAAATACAAAAGCGTCACATCCACACTGTTACTGAGCAATCGCCGAGTTTCTCATTTCATTCTAAAAGAAATCGATTGGAATATAAATATTGTACTTACATTTCAGTGTGTAGTACATAGAACAGTATAAACCATTGTCGTTTGTACTGACTTCGCTAGCGCTGTTTATGTAGCCTGTTGTAAAACGAGGCAAATATCTAGATGAGTTGATGTACCCCCTGGAAGACCTCTGCGTACCCCCAGGGGGACGTGTGCCCCTGGTTGAGAACCACTGATTTAATCTGAGCTCCTGGACAACATAGGCCAGACACGTGCCCCGCAATAATTCCAACAGCAGGTTTTTTAGAAAAACATCCAATCCTGATTTTAAAATGGTCAGTGCTGGGGAACGCAGTCTGCTCCTCGGTAAATTGTTTGGGGTGGATTCTCCAGCGCTGGCCCTGTTTAAATCAAGCAGGGATGTCGTTCTAACAGATCTGCTCCAGGAATTATTGGGGGGGGGAGGCTAGATGATCTGTGCTCCCCTCTGGCCTTGGAATCTATGAACAAAACCTATGTTGGCCACTAGACCCTGCTCCTGGCCGGAGACAAACCCGCTCCTTGGCCATGTGACCAGCGCTGGGGATGCTGAATGCAGCTGGCTCTGTACGATGCCACACATGTTGGTAACAGCCTCACTCTTTCATCCCCTTGCCCCAGTCTTCAAGTCAACAGAGGAAATCCTTCTCAGGTACGTGACGCCCCGTCAACCCGATCCCTGGGCCGGATCCCCCCAGGTTCACCCCTTTACCCCCAGATCTGGGCTGCACATTACGGAGATGATTGGGGGGGGGGAGTGTAGAATCATGGCCAGTCTGCCCTAGTGGCCAGAGCTCTGGACTGAGACTCAAGGGACTTGGCTCTGCCTCTGGCCTCCAGCCTTGGGCAAGTCATGTCCCCATTCCGTGCCTCAGTTTCTCCCTCTGTATAATGGGGACAATGACACTGCCCTCCTTTGGAAAGCCCTGTATGGGAGCTAGGGCTTGTCATTATTTAAGGTCCAGATGGCAGTGGAATAAATATGATACCCAGGGGCCAGTTCAGTGTGTCCCAGAGATGTGAGTGGTCTAGGGCAGTGGTCTCCAAGGAGGAGCGCTTTTTTTTTTTAAATTTTTCTTCGTCAGTTCGGGTGGGAGTCCAAGCGGCATTTTTTTTTTTTGCTTTGGCAAAAATGGTAGAGCCGGCACGGCAGGGGGTGCGTGCTCAAAATTTTTTTACTGATAGGGGTGCGCGATCGAAAAAGTTTGGAGACCACTGGTCTAGGGGTTAGCGCAGTGGTGCGTGGGAGGTAGGACTCCTGGGTTCTATCCCCAGCTCTGGGAGGGGAGTGGGGTTTAGGGGTTAGAGCAGGGTGGCTGGGAGCCAGGACTCCTGGGTTCTAG